CCACCAAGCCCGGCAGTTGGAGACCAGCCCGGGCAACTTGGTGAGCAGAACTTATTACAAAATTTACCAATTATTCTACTAACAACCTTTAGGAGTTTTTTGGTTGTTGTTGGGCGTGGTGGCTCACACCTGTAATTCCAGCACTTTGGGAGCCCGCAGGTTCGAGACCAGCCCAGGCAACATGGCAAGACCTCGTCTCATCAATAAATAAAAAAATTAGCTGGGCATGGTGGCACATGCCTGTAGTTCCTGCTACTTGGAAGGCTGAGGCGAAAGGATCGCTGGACAGAGTGAGACTCCAACTCAAAAAAACCCCCAAAACTCACCACTTAACAATATTAGTAATCCTCAGGCAGAAGTCAACAATGGAATGTTGTAGGTGAAGGCTTGATGAGTAACAGGACATTTACATCATTTCAAAGTGTCTTCCCACAAAATACATATTAATTACGAGAAAAACAATAATTGACACGGAAGAAACCTGGCAGACACTACCTAAACAAAGGATCAAAGTTAGCATTGCCAGTAATGAGACAAACAGACCACAGGTCCCTTCTGAAATGATGCTCTGAGAAGGACACGGTGTCACGTTGATGGCATCCCCCCCCCAGTGAAGAAACATCAGACGAACCTCAGTTGAGGCACAACCTGTGAAATAAATGGCTTATACTTCTTGAATCCTGCCTTTTGACCAGAAAATTGGGAGCTCTCCTTGACAGTCCTCCCTGGAGCACGAGGGGCTGGGTGTATGTGTGTCAGCGTGGTTGAGACCCAGACCTTCAGGGCTGGGGCCAGATTGTTTTTTATCTGGGAACACCCTGAGTCTCTCCCCCATCAGGAGGTGCTAGTCATGCCGGGGCCTGAGAGGCCGTACCCACCTGCCACTCCACGGCTACAGAGTCCCTGCTTCCAAGGGCCAGGAGGCCACATCTCCGCTGTAAGGTGTTTGTTGGTCAGGGCCTTGAACGCTAGAGAACAGCGTTCAGAACACTGAGGTGAGGGACCACTCCAGAACGGCGGTCTCTAACCTTTTTGGCATCGGGGCCTGGTTTCATGGCAGACACTTTTTCCACAGACCTGGGAAGGAAGGATGTGCGGTCAAACCTCCCTCCCTGCTCATGTTCATTGGTATTTGCAGCCTTTCCCCAGCGCTTGGATCACCGCCTGAGCTCCACCTCAGATCCTCAGGCATTAGATTCTCATAAGGAGCCTCAACCGAGATCCCTCGCAGTTGCGGTTCACAATAAGGTTGGTGCTCCTATGAGAATCTCCTGCCAGAGCTGATCTGACAGAAGATGGAGCTCAGGCAGTGATACCAGCAATGGGGAGTGGCTGTAAACACAGAGAAAGCTTTGCTCGCTGGCTCACCGCTCACCTCCTGCTGTGCAGCCCACTTCCTAAGAGGCCACGGACCAGTACCACAGGTAGGGCCGGGGGTCCCACTCTAGAATCTAGGGGCACTTTCCAAAGGGCCTAAACGCAGGAGAACTGTACGGAAGGCAAACACCTCTCGGCTTGGCGGGGAAAAGCCGGGAAGTCCAGCTGGCTCGGAAAGAGAAAGGTGAATTTTGAAAATGGCCGCGTGGAGACCATACTGAGTAGAACTGTCTTTCTGAGGCGAGTTGAGAGGAGGAGGCCTTGTAGACACAACCCCCCCAATGCGCTCGGTGTCCTCAGTACCGTGGTCTTGAGGGTCCCCCATCTATCAGCATCTCTGGCCCCCAGGCAATGAGCTATCCCGCCTCCTCCGGGGATGGGAATGAGGACAGGGAGGAGGACTCAGCCTGTGGTTTGCTTTCTAGTGACCTACGGCATGACAAGCTCCAGTGCTTACTACTACACCAAGGTGATGTCCGAGCTGTTCCTGCACACCCCATCGGACGCCGGAGTCTCTTTCCAGGCCATCAGCAGCATGGCGGACTTCTGGGCTGTGAGCATGGGGTCTCCCCCGCCCTCCCCTCTCCTTCTCGGGGCCGGCGACCACAGGCCAGAGTTCGGGGAGGCCAGACGATAGACCGGGCCTTGTGCCCAGAGGTCAGATCACTCAGGGGTCAGCTGAGTCAAAGGGTCGGACCGGACGGGGCAGTGGGGAGGGAGGCGTCAGGCCTCAGAGGGAAGACTGAGCTTCTGAACACCTGGAAATAAAGGGGGGCCGCACCAGGTCAGGAGGGAGACGGCTGTGGGTGGGGTCAGGGGATGGGGCAAAGGCCACTCTCAGGGCAGGGGCTCGGAAGGAGGCCCCAACCCGGCGCGCGGTCCAGTTTGCGCAGGGCCCGCTGCTGGACGGCTTGTACTGGACCAAGTGGTACAACAACCAGAGCCTGGGCCGTGGCCCCCACTCCTTCATCTACTACGAGAACCTGCTGCTGGGGGTTCCCAGGCTGCGGCAGTTGCGGGTGCGCAACGACTCGTGTGTGGTGCACGAGGACTTCCGCGAGGACATCCCGAGCTGCTACGATGTCTACTCTCCGGACAAAGAGGAGCAGCTCCCCTTTGGGCCCCTCAAGGGCACGGCGTGAGTGACCCCCGCCCCGCCATGCCCGGACACCACCCACTGAGGGCCTGAAGAGCCACCAGGGCACTTGAGGGGACTGGGGCGCGAGGGCCTCCTCCCCGAGTCCCGCCATGACCGTGGGGAGGGACCTGGGTCACAGAGGGGGTGAGTGAGCCAACAGCGCCGTCGCCTCGGGACTCGGTCCCACACAAGGTCACGGCCACACGGACGGCCCCCACCCCGTGGGCAGGCCCTTCAGGGAAAGCTTCCTCTTCTGCTCAGAGGTGCCGTGGGTGTGGAGGACAGGGGAAGGGGCAGCGTCCGGCAGGGGACTGATGGGGGCGGGGAGGGATGGGGACAAGGGGAGGGGAGGGAGGACAGGACAGGGACTGGGAGGAAGGGGTGGCGGCCGGGCCCAGGGACGCGGGGGAGGCAGCGGCTGCACAGCCACGGAGCCGGAAGGGTCCTTTCTAGACCGTGTAGGCTGGGTGGGCTGACTCAGGCTAGGGACAGAAGTGGGCTTGGCTGTGTCATCCATTGTCTTGAGCAACATGCTGGACAATTCAGAGTTCTACATTTGGGTTTCGGGGTTGTCACTCGATAGCTGGGCTTTCTCAGAAATCTCTGGGCCACGGCCTCCTTTCTATACAAAGCAGTGAATATCTGCCCTCCCTTCGCAAATGGTTGTTAGTGTCAAACACCGTAACATGTGAAATATCTGCTATATGTGATCACATGCTATCTATGCTTCACATATGTAACATGTAATGTATAACAGACGTTTCACCTATGTGCTATAGATGATACGTGCATATTTCGTATCATATAGAATATATACATGCACACACATCATATATGTGACATTAGGCCAGGTGCGGTGGCTCATGCCTGTCAGCCCAGCACTTTGGGAGGCTGAGGTGGGAGGATTGCTAGAGCCCAGGGGTTCGAGATCAACGAGACCCTGTCTTTATCAAAAAATACAAAAAATTAGCCGGGTGTGGCGGTGTGCACCTGTAGTCCCCACTACTCAGGAGGCCGAGGCGGGATGATTGCTTGAGGCCAGTCGTTCAAGACCAGCTTGGGCAACAGCAGCATAGCGAGACTCTGTCTCTACAGAAAGTTGAAAAATTAACCAGGCATGGTGGTGTGCACCTGTAGTCCCAGCTACTCAGGAGGCTGAGGTGGGAGGACCGCTCGAGCCCAGGAGGTCGGGGCTGTAGTGAGCCGTGATCGTGCCACTGCACTCCAGCCTGGACGACAGAGTGAGACACCGACTCAAAAAACAAATCTCCGTGCAACGGCCATGTCCGGGCAGCCGTCCTGCTGCCATGGCCGCGGGGTGAGCCGCCGGGCTGCTCAGACGGCACTCTCGGTGGCAGGTGGACCTATCACTCGCAGGACGAGCTGGGAGGCTCCTCTCACTGGGGCAAACTCACCAGCTACGGGGGAGGCGGCTACTTCCTGGACCTCCCGGGGTCCCGACAGGCCAGTGCGGAGGCGCTCCAGGCCCTGCGGGAGGGTCTGTGGCTGGACAGGGGCACGCGGGTGGTCTTCATCGACTTCTCGGTCTACAACGCCAACATCAACCTGTTCTGCGTTCTGAGGTAAGCCCCCC